TTTTTGTCTAAGGGCTAGGGCCTTCTCCTGAAATATCTGTGTGCTGCTATCAGAAGCAAGATTTTAAAACCCCCTATTCCACACATAGGGCTTATCACAGTAAACCCAGTGACTCACCTTGACAGAATGTCTGTGTGAAATGGGGTTGATCAGAGGATCGAAGTAAAAAGCTGGGAGGTCAGGATCTTCTGTTTTAATGAAAACGACATTTGGAGTATGATACCTGCAATAAAAAATATGCATTAGAGCCTCTGACAGCCTTTCCCTCCTCTCCTGGCTCTGGAGGCTGCTGCACTTACCAGGTGAGGTGGACATGGTGTGGCAGGTTGTTGTACAGATATGGGAAAGCGATTTTGTACTCTGTCCTGATGGGCTGCCTGATGATGATTTTGTTGATGTCATTAAATTCATTCCAGTCTTCATCCCTTAAAGTGAAACAAGAAATTGTTATGCAGGCATTCAGGGTGAGAGAGACAAACATCTGTGACTGAAAACATCCTATCAGCCCTTTCTTAGACAACCACTTATCTCTCTCCTAAGCCAAACACTTACTGGAGATTGATGTCTCTGACGAGGGGCTCAAACTTGGGACCTCCAGGAATGGCCATGTTCAGTGCCTTGGAGGTGAAGAACGCTTTCAGGTCAAACAGGTAGAAGTAGTTGTCATCCACCAGGTCAGTGAGCAGCTGGTTGGCCAGGCGGTACAGGGTGGACATCATGGGCAGGGTGAACTGCCAGCGCTGGTACGTGGAGCCGTTGACATACCTGGGAAAGCAGAGCATGGACACTCCAGCCACAGCCACAGCACAACCAAAGCACCAGAAAAACCAAATACCTTTTGTCACCCATCATTCCTCAAGGACAGGTAACACATGGGTGTCTCTAACCTTAAAAAAAAGGCTGCAGCACTGTTAAAACCATTCTGGACTCCTCCTGCCCAGAAAACGCTGGCTGCTCCAGTTCCTCTCCTCCTCTGTGTCCAAACTGACACAGAACATCTGTGCACATTTAGCAAGTATCAGTTTCAAATTCCAGCTAGACAATGCAGGCTGTTAGCTTGACAGCATGGTCAGAAACATCACTTTTAGCAGGTTAGTGGATAACAGGCCTCCTGGACAGAGGATGGATGCTGAATCATAGAATCCCAGAATGGTTTAGGTTGGAAGGAACCTTAAAGCTCATCTTGTTCCAACCCTTCCACCTTCCACTATCACAGGTTGCTCAGAGCCCCATCCAACTTGGTTTTGATCACTTCCAGGGACAGAGCAGCCACAGCTTCTCTGAGCAACCTGCAAGCAAAAGATGCAGCTTTCCCACACTCAGGTTTTCCCTCCCACACTTGATGGAAGGTTTTTCTCTCCCCACCAACATCACACAAAGGTTACACACTCTGTACAGGTATTCACAAACAATATCATGTGTTTGTTTTTCCCCTCTCCCAGTGAATTGTGCTACTACAGCCACGTACTTCCTGTTGTCCTTCAGAGGCTGGTGGTCATAGAACCAGTCCAGCACAGGGGCATCCTCCTCTGGATCCAGCTCCAGCTGAATGGCTTCCAGGGGCTCCACATCCAGGATGTTATCAGCATAATCCAGAGGGGGCTCTTCATCATCAAACGGGGGGAACCTCATCCTCTTGAAGTGACGCCTATCCCTTTTCTCTCGCCTCATCATAATCCACATAGAGCTGCAGGAAAGCAGAGGAAAATTAAAATCAGGGGGATTTTATGATGGATACAAAAAGGTTTGCTCCACCTGGATGAAGCAGAAGGCACCTACCCCCACTGGGCGATGTAGACGGGCTCGATGACCCAGGGGATCTCATTGACAAAGGAGATGGCGCCAGTGATGTGGTACAGGACGGGAACGTCTCGGATCTGCTCCCAGGGCATGGGCATGTTCTCCAGGAGCTTCAGCACAGCATGGGGCATGTACTTCAGAGCACTGCAAGGAAAAACACCCTGGTGTGGATCTCAAGGACAGCCAACCACCTGCCACAAGCCCAGCAACCTAGCAGTTTTCCTTCCTGTGAGCTGCTCATCCAACCCAAAAAGCAAATCCATCATTTCCCACTCTACCTTTGTACTATTGAAAGGTTTTCTAGTGATCTGGCTTTCAAGAACATTGCAAACAAAACCAGAAGTTTTTAAGTGAGTTTCCGGAGTTTTTATGGGTAATGGAAAGTTACTGCAGCAGACCACAACGTGCACTGAACAGCTCTCTACACCCAAACAGCAAAGAAGCACTCAGGATACTTTTCAATCTTGCAAAATGCATTTCATACTCTCCCCAACTCCTTCTAAGACACTGTGTTATGCAGAGGAATGTTTTTTCTTGTAAATTCGAAGCAACAATTCCCTTTGCTGATGCTCTTTTGCACTGATATCTCACAGCAACAGACTGAGCTACAACTGACACTGAAGAAGAGAGAAGGAGAAGGAGCTTTGGAGAAGGAGCCTTCCCCTCGATGATGCGTTATCCAGGCTAAAGTTTTTTCTCATAACTTCAAAGTAACAACTCTTGTTGCTCATCCTCCTCTGCACGGATACCCCAGGGCATCCTCACAGAGCTACAAATAGACACGAAGTGCCTTTTGGAGAATGACCTCTCTCTTCTTTCAAGCGGCGGATGCTCTGAGCTCCCGCTCTGTCACACGCCGGGGATCCCTTACCCCAGGTAGACGCGCTTGTCGTGCCGGAACTTCCTATTGGTCATATCGCCGTGGTCGCGGATGATTTTGCGGACATGCTCGGGGGGCATGTCCTCCTTCTGCGCGTCCACGAAGCCGAATTTCCTCTTCTCCGCATAGCGCTTGGCCTGCAGCTGCTGCCACTTGCGGGCTGCGGGGACACAGAGGCGGCGGCTCAAACCTTGTCCCCAGTGCAGGATCTGGGGTGCCGGGACCGTACCCACCTTTTTCCTGCAGCTTCTCCTCGGACATGTAGTCGGGCAGCGGCGCCAGCGGGTTGGGCACCGGGGCGCAGCCGCCGCGGTACGGGAACACGGCGGCCATGGCGACGCACCTTGCGGAGAGGGTGGAGAGGGGCTCAGAGCGACGTAGGC